AAAAATAAAATGGACCAGCAAATGGCGTAATGGTTATGTCCCTGGACTCCCATGTAGTCAACCGTGGTTCAAGTCCCAGACCTGGTGGCTTAAACTCATGCCGGGTGTGTATGTGTGCGTGCCCAAGATCCCGAGAGGAGAATAGAGAAGAAGGGATTATGGCATGGCCATCCTCCCTGGGGGGTGATTTCCCGCTTTCTGTCTCTGTCTCTTCGGTGAGTACACATGCCCTATAGCGAAAAAAAAAAAACCCTGTCTTTTAAAAAAAATGAAGTAGGTTCAGTAGATTGACCATTCATTCATTTATTTTTCTATAGGACAGCAAAAGAGAGGGGGAGTGAGAAAGAACCCCAAGAGGAATGACTGTGTCACATCAAATTCTCCCCCATCCTCCTCTCAGGACTTTGGGCACACATGCACGTGTGCCTAGCATGTTTTATAAGCCGCTGGGTCCGGGGTTCGAACCATGCATTTGGCCATGTAGAACCCATACCTTAGCCACCGTGCCACCTAGCCAGCCCTGGTTTGAGCTATTTTGTTGTTGATGTTGTTACAAGAGCAGTATGTAACCCCGGGGAAGACCCAGAAATGTAAGGGTAAAAAGTAAAAGCGTCCTGGGACCAGTCGATGCGTAATGGCTACATCGCTAGAATCCCAGGTCGTCGACCGCGGTTCCTGTCCTGGGCTTGGAGGCTTAAAACTCACGCCAGGCACATGTGTGTACATGCTCAAAATCCCAAGAGGAAAAGGGATTGTGGCATGGCCACCTCCCCTGGGGGTGATTTCTCACTTTCTGTCCCTCTGTCTCTGTGTCTCCCTGGCAAATGCACATGCCCCATAGCAAAAATCTCCTAAAAAATAAGAAAAGCAAGTGAAGTGTCCCGCTCACATCGTGTGCGTTCCCGCTGGCAGGCACAGAGGGCAGATCAGGTGATGTTTCAGGATGCCCCGGCTCCCTCCCTGCTCGCTCCTCTGCTTAGAGACTCCTCTCACATGAGGACGGATTTTAGTCTCCGCTGCTTCCCAGCCATGACCGGCTGGGGCTAAGACTACTACCTTACTCTCTGTTCTTTCCCCTCCCCTGGGCACTTTTCTTTTTTTTTTTAAAGAGATTTTTGCTATAGGGTGTGTTCACCAAAAAGACAAAGAGACAGAAAGTGAGAAATCACCCCCACTGCCCCTCAGGGGGGATGGCCACGCCGCAGTCTCTTCTCCATCCTCTCTGGATCTTAGGCACACACGCACACGCGCCCGGCACCAGGCGTTAAGCCATTAGGTCTGGGACTCAGTGTGAGAGTCCAGAGACCTAACCATTATGCCATCTACTGGTCCCACCCCAGGGACATGTTTATTTTTTTATTTTTAAATTTTTTTGGAGAGGTTTTTGGTATAAGGTGTGTGCACACACCAGAAAGATAGAGACAGAAAGCGAGAAATCACCCCCCAGGAGGGATGGCCGCAATCCCTTCTAGCTCCATTCTCCTCTCGGGATATTGGGCACGCACGCACACGCGCCCTGCGTGATTTTTAGGCCACCGGGTCTGGGACGCAAACTGCAATCAGCTACATGGGAGTCCAGTGACGTAGCCTTTTTGCCATCTGCTGGTCACAGCCCAGGGATATTTTTTTTTTTAGTTTTTTTGTTTTGTTTTGTTTTGTTTGCTATAGGCTGTGTGCGCTCGCCAGACAGACAGAGAGAGACAGAGAGACAGAAAGCAAGAAATCACCCCCCATGGGGGATGGCCATGCCACAATCCCTTCTCCTCCATTCTCCTCTCAGGATCTTGGGCACGCACGCACATGCGCCCAGTGTGAATTTTAAGCCACCGGGTCTGGGACGCGAACTGCGGTCGACCACGTGGGAGTCCAGTGACATAGCCATTACGCTAACTGCTTGTCCCACCCAGGTATATTTTTAAAGGTAACTTTATTGAGATCTAATTTATAACCATAAGATTCGACCATTGTGGACCCAGCAGGTGGTGTGGTAGTTAAGGCGCTGGACTCCCACATGGCTGACCACTGTTCGAGTCCCAGACCCAGCAGCTTGCTCTCTCACCTTCCCCTTCTCTCTCTCTCTCTCTCTCTTTCTCTCTCTCTCTCGTGAGCACAGGCAAAATTTAAAAATAATAATAGTAAATAAAATTAAATAATTCTTAAAGGATTCACCCATTATAAATGTACAATTCAATGTTTGTCATAAAGTTATGGAGATGCAGGGAACCAGCAGTTGGCGTAATGGCTATGTCACTGGACTCCCACGTGGTCGACCACGGTTCGCGTCCTGGACCCAGTGGCTTAAAACTCACGCTGGGTGCGTGTGCGTGTGTGCCCAAGATCCCGAGAGGAGAATGGAGGGGAGGGGATTGCAGC